GACGCAACAACAACGTACGTCGCGGTGCGACCGCCGTAGTTATGTCATGGAAGTCTTAGTGCGCTAGCAAAAATACTATGTGAAACCGAAAAATAACGGGATCAAATGTTATACAATGTAATTAGTGGTGTTATTGGAGCTTCCATGACTGGTCATGCCAGGAGGCAATTCCCATAGTGAGATACCTCACTCTGTTTTCAGAGAACCGGGGTTACCCTGGTAACCAAAAGTTATGTTGTGTTTAGGGTTATGTGGTTAGGACTGTGTTGTGGTTAGGGCTAGGGTCCAATTCAGGTACTGGGTTTAATTTTGAACCATAATCCAGACACCAATTACATTTTTCTCCAGAACATTTTTAAAACTCAAAACTATTATGTTGGAAGTTTTGTAGGAGAAAGAAATTCACAATTCACAAAGAGTCTATGGGGTTAAAGGTATAATGTTAGTTCTGACAGTGCTAGAGGAGAGTTTATGGGATTAATTCATTCTTGAAAATGTGCTCGGCAAATTTCATGGCTGGCATAATATGGTTATTTTAGTGTACAAATGGAAATGTGTGCCTGATGGGGTTGGACGGTCCAGGGGGTCAATAACATTTTTTTTGATCCTGTAGGAACGTCCCTGTGATCCTGTGTCACTGGCAGTGAATAGAGTGTGAGTTGCTTCATCACCTTTGGTGTCATTGAGAGGGTCCATGTGCCGGTAGATGTAGCCCTCCAGGTAGGTGTGAAAGCGTGGCGTGGGGGGGAAGAAGGCCAGGCAGATGGCCATCAGCTCCCAGCCTCGCTCCAGGCTGTCGTAACGGAAGTTCTCAGTGGTTTGACGACACAGCTGGATGTAGAGCTCATCTCGCAGACCCTGGTTGCTCCACCCACGCACCACCACCTGCCAGGGACCGCCAGAGAGCCAGGTGAGTCCTTCTCTTCATGAATAAAAATTGCAGTTAATTAAACTTGTTTAAATTTGGGGGATCTAATCAATGATCGTTTTGCAGATCTTTGCTACGGGTTGTCTACACATGACGTTTTAGTCAGTCGTCTGTCTCACGAGCATCTGACACAACATACACTGCTATTCTAATCACTCTGCCAACACAGGCTAGTTGCTCAACTATGCTAAGCAGCTTTTCTGTCTGCTGCTGTGCTCATGTTTAATCAAACCCTCATTCCACACTTTTCATCCAAGCAGATTTGACAGTACCACTGGCAAAGGATTTTCTTGGATTTTCATTAATACCAGACGGAAGTCTGAAATTTCTCTGGGGCCTCATGACCGTTGTGTGCACACAACACAGGGCTTTATGTGTGTGCCACTTTCCACGGAAAAAGTTGGAAAAGACGAACTGGCCGGGAGAATGTGGACACCTGTACAGAAACTCAGAGCCAGATGCTACACACACACACACAC